GTTGGTCGGTATAGCCGCCAGGCGCTGTGGTTGACATGTGTTTGGTAGGTGGTGATCGAGGGTTCTTGGATCAGAAGTACATCCAAGTTTTGGGTTTGGTGGTCGTTGATGAGTGCTTCCATCCTAGGTCCCGACTTCATGATGTTCAACTGTAGTATGCGCAGGTTCGTTTCTAACATTGATGGGGGTTGGAAGTTGCGGGTGTAGCACACTGTCGGTCACCAGTTGGGTGTTCGCCGCTACAATCCAGGCATCTAGCCCTGATCCCTGGGGGGCATCGTTGCCGCTCGTGTTGACCTGCACAATGTCCACAGCGTGGTGTTTCCTTGCACGACCATGCTAAGTGACCGAAACGTTGGCATCGGAAGCACCTCTTTTTCTTGATTTCGCGGCGTTCCACGCTACCGATATATCTTTGTCCAACAAGAAGACCATTGTTGAGGATGTATTCGGCTCCTTCTGCAGAGTCAAACCAGATACCAAGCGACGCAAACTTCCCCAGAACTTTATCTTTCCGCTTAAGCCATGCCAACTCTTCGATTTGGAAGCCTTTGTCGGCTAGGTCGTTTTCTTCCATAATTCTTTGAATGGCTTGAGAGTTCGCATTCTCTAGGTCGAAGTTCTCTGTCGGGGTGCGGTGTACGACGATGCCGAACCGCGGCTTGACCAGCTTTGTGTTGTTTCCTAGCTCATTCAACCATTCAGTGTTGTTGCGGGCTGCTTCGGCCGACCCTGAGTCTTTGAAGCGAATTAAGTATCCCGTTTTAGTGGTACCAATGCCGGCTACTTCGGCATCCTGAGTCGAAGGTGCGCTTAACAGCGCTGAACGGATATAGGTGTTAGCAGACTCGGTAGAGAGGTATCGCCCGAAAGCGTTCCCTTCGCTATTCTCATTGTCTCTCGGGTCCACCAATGATCTCTGTGTGCTAATGCGGACGCAGTTTCGGTCCTTTTCGGGTCGTTGGAGGCTTGGTTGCGGGTCACTGGTACCGCTGGCTGCTATCGCTGCCCATGTTCTACCATACGCTGGCGGGAATCAGACACGTGCAATGAACAACAAGAGACTTGCTCAGATCACACTTTGGAGATACTATATGATGCAGAAAGCCTACCAATTGATGTACGTATTCTCTCCAGCGTATGGAGACAGGGCCGACTGGTTGGGAAAAAAAGGATGACAATGCTTAGCACATCAAATAGAGACGGCTTACCGACAAACTGGGGCTATGCGCAGCTCCAATACTAAGTACAAATCAAGTCTCCTCAACAGCGCCACTTATATGTGGTTTTTCCTGCTCCCAGGACCGCCATATAACCAAATATTGTACAACCGAACTCTCATTCTGTTGAATAACACGTTTGGTAACTATGCTTATCGGTACTTTCTGGCCATTCTGGAGATGTCAGCTCATTCACTCAAAATGATATCCCCAAGCGACTTACGAAACCAAAAGAGTCATTGGAATGCATGTGGCAATGCTGGCTGTAGTTGGAAGACGCAGAGGATCCGTTTGAATAGGCGGATTCCTCTCCGTCTGACACCACGAATGCGCGGTCTTCACTCGTCTCCGAAATATCTTCCTCGGAGTGCTCAGAGATTGACTCTCGTGCTTCAGAGTCATTGAGCTCACTGTGAGAGGACATGACTTCGACAAGCTCATTTTCCCCTCTTGTGGCCATCTTGGGCAGGGACACTTGGTGTCAGAAGACTCAACAGAGTATGAACGAAATGATGTGTTTGACTTTTCCAGTCTGGTGCGCCGCCCGCTTATATAGCCAAAATGTCTATTTGATGACTCTATGGTCCTGGCCATCTCTAGGCGGTGTCCCAACGGGCGCAGTAATTCTTGGAGGGCGGATGGAAGCCTCAGAGACGTACGGGAGTAATTCAGCCCAGCTTATGGTGCAAACCCAGTAGACAGTTGATTCACTAGATTCCTAGTGAGGAAGACCCGGTGAGAGGCAGACTTGTTGACCAGATTAGGCGTTGAGAATCGTTGATCGATTGACTTCCCTGCGTATCATGTATGCTTCGTTTATAGCCCT